GTAGCTTTTGCCGGTCTCGAGATGAAAAATCGGTACAGACACGCAGCGCACACACAGACACACACAAACACTCACACACACACACAGACAACCTCTCGTCAATATGCGTTTTCTGCATTGCATAGCTGCAAAAAACGCGGCTGTTACACAGCACAAAACGCATAAAAATCGGTACAGACGCGCAGCGCACACACACACGCACAAGTCCCCAAAGTTTCAGCTCCGTAGCTTTTGCCGGTCTCGAGATGAAAAACCGATACAGAGGCCCAGCGCACACACAGACACATCGCAGCTTTTATAGGTCCGGAGATGAAAGTGCGTGACAGACGCACACACAGGCACACAGACACACGAACACACAGACAACCTCTCGTCAATATGCGTTTTTCGCATTGCATTGCTGCAAAAAACGCATAAAAATAGCCATTACTGCATTTGATTTTAAAGAATAGAAAGCGTTGAACAGCTAGGTCATTTTCAAAGAACGGAAATTGTTCATTTTCCTTTATGCAAAATTTGCGATGAATTTCGGTAGTGCGCGCACAAAAGAAACATGAAGCAACAAACATTCATGCCGTTAACCTAATTACTTTAAGTTTGGTGCAAAAACGCATGATCGCACCGGCAAGGTTGATACGCTCTGGCCTAAGTTGCATTCCATACATGCATACATGCAAAAACGCACAAAAATGGGCACTCATGAAATGTTCTTATTCCAGAATAAGTGCACATGCCAGACCATGAATCAGTAAATGTTCTTGCTGTTACAAATCATGTTGCTACATGAAATCAAGTCAGATTTGAACGGTCGTAACAACTCTGATGCAAGCAGCTAATTCATTTGCTTTTTCTTCTGAAAACACAAGTAATGAGTGATGAAACAGCAATATATATATGTATATATGTATATATATATGTATGTATATGTATATACATGTATATATATGTACATGTATATACATATATATACATATATACGTATATGTATATATATGTATATCTATATACATACATACCCGGAAAGTAAACTGCAGCAGGAGTATAATTTGCTATTCGCCGATTTACAGACTCGATTGAAGAAGTATCCATTTTGTGCGCACCTACAGCTTCCAGTGTCCTTAGCGTCCATCGCAGGTTCGGTATTAAAGCATCTAAAATTGCAAGTTAATGAAAAAAGTGATTTGATGGTTTAACACTTTAGTAGCAAAAATTTTCGATGTGAAACCCACTACTTCTACTGTAGTACATTCACCTTATCCAGGCTATTTATCCCGTTTTCATGCGTTTTGTGTGTGTGTGTGTGTGTGTATGTATGTATGTGTGTGCGTCTATTCAGGTATTTCAACTCGGCCCCCAAGCAAGTTCCAGCGCCAGAACTTTGTTATTGAGTTCCTCGGCCAAGTGCCACTCCAGGACGGCGGCACCAACTTTCAGTCAAGTCCAGGCCTCGCGTACGAGAAGGTGAAAGTTTTGGCGGGAAAATCGTTAAGTCAGGGAGCAGAAAAGCTAGGAAGCTGAAGTTTTGAAATCATGTTCAGTGTTCACACAGAACTCAAAGATTTCAAATTCAGCCCCCACCTTTGCGTAGTATTCGCGTTTGGCGTCCTGAGGGTTCCTGGTGCGAAGATTGCTAACTTGGGAACCAGGAAAACTGGGAGGCCGTAATCCTCAGAGAGTTTTTCCAGCACATGTACAACACAAATTTATCAAATTCAGCTCCCCAGGCATGCGTAGTTATCATGTACGGCCCCGTGAAAGTTTTTGGCGGGAAAATGGCTAACTCGGGAGTTGGAAAAG